ATTTTTTCACCTGATAAATTTTTGGTGATATTATGATAAATAATTTATCAGTTTAAAGATTTTTGATACCTACCCCAGGAATCGAGATAATTGATCTCAAAATTGATGGTTTGGGTGGGCTATTAGAGGAAGTGCGATATGCGCTTTTTATTGCAAAGTTGGGTGTCCGATAACTCCACGATGTATTGATAAAACCAATGTCGTTCTATTAGAGGTTTTACGGTAATCGGCCTCCTCTAGACTTAGGAGATTTTTTAGCTCATCTGAAAACAAAAATTAAAGAGTTCGCAAATCTCACAGAGAATACAACTAGTTCTCAATTAGAGAGGATGAGGTATTTCGCAACAACTCTCACTTGTCCGTTGTAAATCCTTTTTTCCACTACTAGGTTTACCGCATTTTGAAATAGAATTACCACATCACCTTTTTCCTATTCAAGATGGCGTCGGCTCCATCGTCGTCATCCACATCATCTACTCTCCCAATATCACACGTCCGTCGTCATGAAGACGTGCCTACACCAAGCGCTCCACCAAGTAAACGAAGTAATATCCAACCACAAGAGAGTTACGAGCCTAAAACCTGGTTACAACAACAGATGGAACAAGAGCAACAGAGAAAGTTAGCCGAGGAGAAGAAAAAACAGAGTACCTCAACAACGGGGGACGACGAAGAGGAAGAGGTGCGTGGGAGAAAGTGAATTGCCTATTTCGCAAGACCCAAAGACAATCTGATCTAACAAGAGTCAGAGTTACTCTATCAAGGTGACATGTTACAGGATGTTCTTTCCCAACCGCGTGGTCCTCACAAACGAAGATTCAATTTTGTGATGGTCAGCAATATCACATTTGCCATTCCGGAAGGTTATGATGTCGATAGTATTGAATATTTGGGTGGAGGCTCTTTTGGAAATGTTATGTAGGTTTTCTTGTTTTTGCCATTTTTCAAAAAAAAACCCATTCTTGTGAACCAAGGACTTTGCGGCCCTTCGTTGGCCGAATTTCCTTTTAGAATCGATATTTTTATACCAACAAAATTAGATTGGTAGAACTCGTCAAGTACTATAAAATGATACTATTTGGAGAATCGCATCTTGTCTATGGATGAAGTTTTAAGCCAAATTTCGTCTGAGTTACGCGGTCACAGATTTTTAACTCATAACTTTGTTCATAGACAAGCTACAGTTTTTCAAATAGCATAATTTTGTAGTACTCGTCAATTTCTATAATATACATTTTAGTTGGTCCGAAAATATTGATTTTCAAATAAAACAAGAGAGGACTCGGTATACAAGTATTTATGTATTTTTCTTTCTTCAGAAAAACAAGCGCTGTTTGCCGAGACGGTCATCGTCGTTGGGTGACAATCAAGAAGATGCGAGAACCCTTTTTTGATCCACATCATGTTAGTTTGATTTTTTTTTCATAAATTTTTGACTAGCTTTTCTTGTTTTCAGGCTCGACGCATTTTCCGAGAGATCAAATTGCTTCAATTAATGAGACACGACAATATCATCTGCGCACTTGACATTTACACTCCTGACGAGGAAAACGATTTTCGTGATGTGTATGTCTTTGAAGAAGAGCAAAAGGGCTTCTCAAAAATTCTCTTCTTTTTTCAGATATGTAGTCACTGAATTTGCTGGGCGAAGTCTCTATCGTATCCTTAAACAACAAAGGGATTATGGAAGACGGGTGTTGACCGAAGAGCATGTGAAATTTATAATTTATCAAATCATAAGAGCACTCAAGTACATTCATTCAGCAAATGTAAATATTATAGAAGAAGAAGAAGAAGATTAAGAAACAATAATTAGCTCTTTTCAGATCATCCATCGAGACCTCAAGCCCGGTAATCTGGCTCTCACAGACGATTCTGATCTGATGATTCTTGATTTTGGTCTTGCAAGATCTCTAGAAAAAAAGGACACATCTCTAACTCAATATGTGCAAACAAGATGGTACCGTAGTCCCGAAGTCATTTACTGGAAAATCGACAGCTACACAAATCTAGCAGACATGTGGTCAGTTGGATGTATTGCTGCTGAACTTCTTACCGGAGATCCTTTATTTCCTGGAGATGATGGTAATTGAGAAGATTATGAGATTTTATTTATAGTTTCTTCTGTTTTAGTGAATGCTCAATATCAAAGAATCACTCAATTGTGCGGAAGTCCCGATGAGGAACTTTTAGCAAAAATTGAAAATGACAACTCGTCAGCAATGAAAGCTGTCATCCAATCTTATAAAGTTTACAAACGAAGGAACTTCCGAGAAGTCTTCGCTGCCTACAGTCCGTCTGCAGACTTTATTGACCTAATTGAGAAACTTCTTGTTCTGGATCCAGAGAAGAGAATCACTGTGGAAGAGGCTATTCAGCATCCATATCTCGCCGAGTTCTCCCTTCCAGCAGATGAGCCAAGAGCAGATCATATCTTCGATTTGGATGACACTCAAGCTAGAACACGCTTCCAATGGAGAGGTATTTTTTAGCTCAAAAATATAAATCCAAAAATAATAAGCATTGTTTTCAGACGCTGTGTGGACCGAGATAATGAACTATCAGCGAATCATGCAGTCGCCTATTATCCCTGGAGAAACGGATCGTTGACATCACTTTTTCTCAGCTATTCTGATTGTATATAATGTCGGTTATTCTCTCTTTTTCTTCTTCTTCAACCCGTCCTCCCCTTTCTTTTTCCTCTGTCTTGTCTGCCCTATGTCGATTTATATTCCCTCTATTCCTCCCCACATTATTCTCTTTTTTGTCGTTCAGTGATAGCACATTTTGACACTGGTGATAAGTGCAGATTGCTTTTCTTTTCTCTTTACATCATTTCCTTTCCAAAGAGTATTTATTTTTCTTGTGCATTGCATTCTATAGCTTCTTCTTCTGCTCTTTTACATTTCTCTTACTACTCTTTTTTCAGTTTCTTTATCTCTTCATCTTTTCTCTCTTTTCAATTCATCTCATCATCCATTTTATTTTTTATTTATTCGTCATCCATCTTGTCCATTGCACACTTACGCACATACTAATTAGTTAAATAAACTTTTTCTAGAAGGTTGTATCTACAAAGAAACAAAGATTGGTATTCATCCAAAACAGCTACTCATAATACCTTTTCTTAATTTCTATATTAAAAAGGTGGAAAGGACCTGTTCAGATGTTCTGGGGATGGCGGTGAAGATGGGCGACTTTCCCGGAACCTTCATCGCAGATCTAGGCCCCGCGCCTGTAGAAATCACTCCAGAAGGCTATCATGAGGTAAGAAATGATAGTAAGAGCATTAATGTCGCAAAAATATAGATCTTATGTTCTTTCTGTAAGCTTAAATCTGAAAATCCGAAAATCTCAAAAGCCAATTTAATCCACATTCAGGACATAGTTGTTTTATTGGGACCATGGGAGCACACATGCAGCTATAATATCGAGATTTTAACATGTTTATTCAAATTTGTGTTTATTCAAATTCAAGACAATGCATCTATTATTGTAAACACTTTAATATAATGACACTAAACCTTTCAAGTTTGGGCTCATATATCTCATTCCCTGCCAAAGAAATCAAAAAGCGGTCAACTGATAAAATGCTCATCATAATATCAAAAATATTTTGTCAGTTGACTATTTTTTCATACCTTTCACAAGAACCGAGATAAATTGGCTCGAAGTTTAAAGTTAGGGTTTTATTGAGTGTTGACAGTAACTAGGTTCAACAACTTTTCCATAATAAACTTTTTTAAACAACCGAAATTTGATTCTAGTAAACTATAAACTTTAAAATTTATGGAAAGAAAAATTTAAGAAATATACCTTGACTTATAATTTTCAGATTGAACTCAACAAGACCAAATGGGTGATACCTCACTGGTACAACAGTTTGCGAGCACTGGGAGAGGGTGCCTATGGAGTTGTGTGGTCAGTTTTTTTTCTTCATTTTCAGAAAAAAAAAATTATTTCCAGCACAGCCGAATACGAACCCACTGGAGACCGAGTGGCGATTAAAAAATTCTTTCGGCCATTTCAAAGTACAATTCATGCAAAAAGAACGTATCGAGAACTGAAATTGTTACGAACATTGCAGCATGATAATGTGCTGGAAATGATAGATGTATTCACTCCAGATCCCGATGCTTCGTCTTTAAATTATGTGTGAGTTGTTATTCTGGGGAAGAAAGTGAGAGATAATCGGATGAAAAGAGGATTAGAGGGTTAGAGAAAGTAGGAAAATAGGAAGATCGTCGATTTGCATAGAAACAAGACAGAAGGCACGTGAGAAGAACAAAAGAAGGTCATCTGAATGGATTGAAATGGTCAACGATCATGGAATTTGTTTGTTTCAAGGAGAAAACTTTGATGTAGGAAGGGCGGAAGATTTAGGAATTTATAAAAAATCAACCAAATCAGAAAAGCGGGTTTATGTCATAAATACATCTCTTGTTTCTGTGAGCATAGATTTATGACTAGACCTCATCAAGTTTTGAAGTTGTATAGCTGGAAGTTGATTTACGATTGAGACTTTTTAATAAAGAGTTTCTAATTTTTACAACTAGAAAATCAATTTTCAAAAAATACGAATTCTCTCATTTCAGATACTTTGTGTCCGTTCTGATGGGCTCCGATCTTCAAAACATTCTAAAAATTCAACGGCTGACTGATGAACAAATTCAACTTCTCATCTATCAAGTGCTGCGTGGGCTAAAGGTATGATTATTTTTCTCCATTTTATAATTAGGGCCTCTCTCCCAAATTTTTCCTCTAGCTTTTCCTCTCAAATTTCATTTTGAGTGTGTCCATCTCTTCTTCTCTTTTCTTTCACCGAAGTGCTCCACCCTTCACTTCTCTGTCTTTATATTCCTGCGTTTTTCTTCTTTTCTCCTTTCTTTCTTCCCTTTTTTCCCACTTTCTAATTAAATTCTGGCGCGCCGATTGCTCCATCTTCTTCTCCTTTCTGATAGAAGATGTTTTTTCGATTAGCCATAGGGTCGAGAGGAGATGTATTCGAAAAAAAAGCATTTCATGAATTCTATCAATTATTCCGCTCCGTCTCTTTTTTTCTCTTCTCTCGGAGAGCTTGAATCACAAAATAAAGGAGACGTAGAGGCTTGATATATGAATGTGACAGGTTTAGATAAAAGAAGGAAAAGAGCAACAACCGAATTTCGATTCATTCCCTGCCAGCTATTGGTATACCCTTCTATAAGATATTCAAAAAGTGTATTGTTCAATGGTTTTTCTGCAATTTTGAGCATTTACAGGAGTCTGGAGCTCGGTTGTCAAGTTTCGATCACTTTGAAAAATTTGTAGAATGTAAAATAGACCTAGATTGAAAAATTTGCATATACAGAATTTTTGAAAATTCCTTTTATTTTCGATTTCGGAAAGACACCCCTTATATGCTCGTTTTAATACTGAAATCTTTTAAAAAAGGTGTCTTTTAGAAATCGGCAAATATCTGAAAAACTAGCAATTTCGAAAAAAATTCTGTGAATACAAAAATTTTTCAATCTAGGCCTATTTTAAGCCTACCAAAATTTTCAAAGTGATCGGAAACTTGACATTTGACATGGTAAAAATGGCCGAAAAACAACTGATAAATACTTTTTTCTACATCTTATCGACCGGTACTGTAGGTCAAACTTATAAACTCAACATTTGAGTCATAAGTGTATTGTACTCTCGTTCTTCTATTTGTACTTTGGCCAATCCTGTACCGTCTGTGACTACTCCAACCTCCTGCGTCTCTCCTCTATCTATTATGCCTCCTCTACAGAAGACTAATCGATCAAGAAGACACCTTCTATTCTTTTTGGCAAGAAGGGAGACAAAAATGCTGTGTTGTTTCCTTCTGAATGACGTATATTCCTCTCTTCTCCTTTATTAACTTCTCCACGTTTTTTTCATGATAAAGACGATCGACAAACGATATTGTTTACCGAAGACACACACTCTTTTTCAGTCTTTTTCTGAACTGTCTATTCCTCTTTTTTGTCTTCCTCTTCTCCCCAATATATTTTTCCTTTTTTTCCAGTATATTCATTCGGCTGGGATTATCCATCGAGACCTAAAGCCATCGAATATCGCCGTCAACGAAAGATGCGAAGTCAAGATTTTGGATTTTGGCCTAGCTCGTGCTCAGGATGCCGAAATGACAGGATACGTCGCGACAAGATGGTATAGAGCCCCCGAGATTATGCTCAATTGGATGCATTATACACAGACAGGTAGGTTAGAGATTGAGAGAGAAAGAGACTCAGAGAATGAGGAAGAAAAGAAGGGAAAAGCAAACAGTTTCCCTACTCGCAAAAAATCATTTTTATTGTTCCTCACATTTTGGATTTTTCGTTGTTCCCAGAATCGACTTTTGTCTTTTGAAAAACAAAAAATTCGAGCTTTTCCCCATTTTGAAGTTCAATGGCTGTCCCAAAATAGCGTAAAACCTCTAATAGAAGGACCCTAACTTTTAAAATTGAGCCAATTTTTCTCGGTTCCTGTAAAAGATATAAAAAAGTTGTCAACTAATAATTTGTTTATCATAAAAGCAAAATTTTTTATCAGGTAGCAAAATGTTGATATCGTGCATAGGAACAGAGATAATTGAGCCCAAATTTGACAGTGTGTGGACCCTTCTATTACAGGTTTTACGGTAGTTGAATGGGTTTTAGACCACTTCTAACAAGTATATATTTTTATAAACTTTCCAAAATGTTATATTTTTTTTCAGTTGACATTTGGTCAGTCGGATGCATCCTAGCGGAACTTGTCTCCGGGCGACCACTGTTTCCAGGTGACGATCGTGAGTTATTTCTTTTTTTTCTCCTTTTTTCACATTTTACTATTCTTTAGATATTGACCAACTAACGAAAATTATGTCAGTAGTTGGGACTCCACAAGAAGATTTTTGGTCGAAAATTCAATCGGAGGAAGCTCGAAATTATATCAAGTGAGTTCACTATTTTCTGAGATTTTTTTCGTTGATTTTACAATAATCTCAATTCTCCTTAAATGTTGGGAGACTTGGAAAAAATGACTGTCTCGAAATTTTGTGTGTATAAGCCTCTCGAGGAGTCGAACTTGTGGGAAGTATTCCCAGATAAAGGGGCACAGCCGAAAAACTGCTAATAACAGCAGTAGAGACGCAACCTGGAGGATGGCTTCTAATTGGAAGCCAAAGGAGGACCGACGGGCCGTCGACGCACCGTTGACGTTCAGTCGGAACCCCTTGGAAGACATGCTTGACAGTTCTGATTGAGTCTCGAGGAGCTTTGAAAAAAACCACAAAAGGATTTTATAAGAATCTCAATCCAACTTTCATCCACATTCCAGAAATCAGTCTCCAATCGTCCGCCAAGACTTTGGCGCCTTGTTCCCAATGGCATCTCCATATGCAGTTGAATTATTGGAAATGATGTTAATTTTGGATCCAGACGAGCGAATTTCAGTTTCCAGTGCTCTTCGTCATGACTACCTTCGAGAG